GCTGCTTACCAAACAATAACCAAAAAAATTGCCAAAATCCGACAAAATTCCAATTTTGTTCAGACATTTAAGACCGAATTTTTTCAGTCTCTAAAGACAGAAGTATCCAATTCATTATGTGGCGCAAATTGAACAGATTGTGACCTACGTGCACATTGCCTGGAATGTGTTTTTGGGTTGCAACAATTATCACGATTCACATTATGGAATTATAACAGAAAAAAAAGCTCAACATTACATCAGAATACATTTTCAATTTGTGCAAACAAACTGGTGACTCAGGCAGACATTTGTTCTTCAAATACAATACAAAGATCTGTAGTGATCTATCAGTGATTGACATAACCCATCAAATGACTCTCAGGAAAACACTCAAACTGATTGGCTACACAGTGGCTGTCTAGCAACTGTTAGACAACACAGGGGGCTGGTCAATCTTTGAAGATGATTTCAACTTTGTTTGTTGACACTTGTAATACAAAATATTTGTTTGCTTGATAGATCAGTCAGTGGATTGTGCTAAACTGATTAGACAACTCGCTCTCACTTTCTTTTGATTTGGTAGTTGGCCAGGGGCTTCACCCTTGCCAATTATAAGTCGATAGAAACTTTGAGCTCACCTTCTTATGTTCAAATAATAACTGATGAATGAATCAATCAGATTCATGAATTTGCAACAAAACATGGACACTAGGAGTTTAATAGGGTTTTACAGTAATGTGTATAATACCATACAAAATATGACAAAAGTTGGAAATGCAGCTATACAATGATAGCCAAGTAATGGTGTGAAGGCACATTTTCTGATTTTGTTACAAATTGTATGTTTTGCTGTCTTCTTGATCGGTTCATGACAGAAACAACAGCTATCAATCAGCTGTCATGGATTGTCTCAATCGGAACATAAACACTAGGAAGTAATGGGGAATTCTAAAAGTGTTAGAGGGCTTCATAGGGTTTTTACTAACAGTAATTTGTATAATTTATACCATAAAATGATAGCCAAGTATAGTAAGTGATCTGGATTTGTTGTTTATGTTAGCACTTTCATTGTTTTGCAATTTTATTTTGTTAGAGGCAAAAACAACAACAATAGATTACATTACCTTGTTTTTCAAAACAATTTAATTTGTAATATATTTACTGTAAATAAATACAACCTAATTAAGGATCGGTACAGTCATACTAAATGCCTTATAGAACATTTGTCCTGAGTATCACTGCTTTGTGATACTCTAACGGCACATGCTCTGCAGGCTAGTTTTCTGATTTTGTTCAAATTTGTATATTATGTTGTCTTTTTGAAATAAACAACAGCTACAAATCAGCTGTGGTGGTTTCTGTCTCTCGTGATTGATTTATGGATCAACCAATGATTCTACCAAGAAGGAATGTCACTAACGCTACCCAGTGACTGGCAAAATCCAAGTGAGACCATTTGCTTAGAGTGTGCTTCATGCCATAACCCTGAAAAGATGAATTTTATAAATATAATAAAATTAGATTCTACAGGAGTTCCTCTTACAAGTTACTATTAATAACATAGGCCTGCAATGCATGCAGACAGTTAACCTGCTCTACTGTACTCTGGGTGAATTGCTTCGAACTTTCTTTGCACCATTCACATAACTTCATTCATCAGGTATTATTATGTATCATGTAATCAGGCCCTTAGACGGCGATCATTTCAAATTCAAGGTTTATTGACTGGCAGTCTAGTGTAGCAGGCAGATAAGTGGTATTTTTGGAACTGAGATCTTTGTTCGTTCTGCTATATCACGCTAGTACAGTAACTGTAAGGCATCGCAGTTTATAACTCTAGTGCTCAATATAGAATCTTTTTGGTGACAAATATTGTGATAGCATATTTTCGGTGAGCTTCAGTAGTGTGAGGTGAAATGAATGCGTTCATCTCAATGAACCCAACCCTACACGGGTCTAATACCTGGGGAATGTTTAATGTATCTAGTCTGTTTGATGGATACAAAACTTCACTTGCGCTTCGCTCAGACAATTATCTTAAAAAGAATGGTTCCAGCTCATTTAAGAAATAAAGAAAAACGAAACTTTCCCCTTCCCATCGCCCTCATGACCTTTTTTCATGTTCTCTGTCCAAAGTCCAGCGATGCTCGGAGTGTATATATATTGATTACATTTCCTTCCTTCCCCTCTTGTAAACAATATACAGCAGAAATGCAAAACCATAATAAGAATAATATCAAAACATAACCATATCTGGGCATTTGAACTTAACATAATAGAACAGTAAATTATCCGTCAATGAAAAAATGCCAGCATTGATCAGGCGAAAACGAATCTAAACAAGGGGACTTCCCTCGCCTCGTTCTCGAGCAGCGCAATGAACAGAAAACCCTACATAGTGTCACACGCAGTTGTTTGTTGAGTTACATGTATTGAATTGTGAAATGTAAATAACCGATTTTTCGCTATTGCTCGGACACAACAGAACAGAATGATAATGCAATACTGGCAAACCTCTGCACGGAGAATTTGAAGTGCTTTATCAGCGTCACGTTTGGTGATACCTCAAAATTTCAACCAAAATTGTGTGTTCTCTTAGTTCACGAAGTACTCTTTCATTTCCTTCAATTCCCCTAAAATTCTGTATCTTACTTTCGGGAAATCAGATAGCCTGGTCGAGAATGCTGAAGTGGCCTCTGCCCCCTGGGCACTGAACTCGACTGGCGGAAATGAGAGAGTAGGATCAACTTGCAGCGCTTGAGTTTCGTTCGAAGGACTGTTTGAAAGCCTTAGTCTGAAACAGACTGGTTTCATTCCTTAGTCTGAAACAGACTGGTTTCATTACATCCGAGCAGTGACTGCACATAAAACACTGTAAACCTTCCCCCTTCCCTGCCCCTTCCAGACGCTCGATATGTTTTTCGACTCCGAGACAGCATTTACAAACGAAGATTGACTGATTGTCACTTCCCTTGTTCTCTCTTCAAAACAATACACAGCAAAAGTCCAAAACCATAATGAGAAAAAAAGTGCCCTGTCATTCCAATATATAACCATATCTGGGCAATTGAACGTTAGATAATATAACAGTAATTGGTAAATTTCCCGTCAGTGGAAAAATGCCAGTACTGATGAAACCAAAACGAATCTAAACAGGGGGAATCCCCGCGCCTCGTTCTCGTGTAACATGAAGAAAACAAACGGACGCCGACTGAAATTAACCCAACCTCACTTTAACGCCCATTGCTTGATCTTGATAGAAGTTTCACTTGAACATACGCCGATTTTTTGCCTTAAGATCATGGCGGCTAATAATTTTGGTTCTGCTAAGCCGGTTTATAGCCCTTACGGTGGTAGCAAAGAGTCCCTTGTCATAGTGGACGAGACGGAAGCAGTCTGTACAGGGAGTATAAACGGCGACTGCCGTGATCGCTCTTCGTCTTTGATCTCCATCGTGTCGGTTCATCACGAAGATGTCGTAGGTTATGATGACGGTGACAGTGATAGGGAAGCAGCTGCAATAGAAGACAACAAACCTGTGACCAAAGACGATGTTATTATGAACTTGAGCTTAAGTTCTCCATCGTTAAGGAAGCTGCGTTGGTTTCTACAGATCACTTTTCTGTGGCTTCCTCAAAACGCATCGTCCGCACGGAAGACGTTTTACACTGCGATGCAAGTGCTCATCGTTGCTTTCCTGTGTGGTTGTTACGCGTTCGACATGGGAGCATTCCACAACAGATCGCTGATCCAAGACGAATTGGGGGAGACTGTAACAGCCGCTAAGAACATCATCTGGTCCTTCAGGTACCTCGAGATGTACATTGTTGGCATCTTGTACTTTCGAAAGCGCCACTTGGAGAAAATGCTTTCCGAAGTGATTTTGACCAGGCGATACTGGAAGAAAGTTCGGCGCACAATCCTCAAGGTCAGCATTGCCGTGTTTCTCTTTGTCTTCGTCGTGCCAGTGACTTCGAAAATTGTTCAGATGAACTTAACAACGAGGAAAGTGGAATCATTCAGCCTCAAGGAGATCCTCTGTAGTGTTTCCCTGTCGATTATGGCTCGAATTGTAGCTCTGCCTATTTTTCTAGCCTTTATCTATGTCGTATACGTCACATTCAGCCAAATTCGCCTGTTCAAAGAGCAACTTCAAAAGTGGCCCGAGGGAATGAAAGAGGAAGCAAGAAATCGGTTCATTGACATTAAAACTACCATCCGAGACGCAGAGAGGTCTTTTCAGACTTTTCTAATAGCACATCTGCTATTGCTGCTGGTCCTTCTCATACCAGCCATATTTTCTTGCGTCGAGCGCCTTCAAAGTGAGAGCCACTATGAGGAGACCGATACTGACCAAATGGAAATGAGATCCGCTCTTAAGCCTCCGGGAAATACAGAAAATTTCATCGCCGCTGTCAATGGCACTTATTACCAACGGCAACAAGTGACCTTCCTGTTAAAGCTACCGGCGAATTATGGTCAAAACACAACGCATAACGCACCTCATAAGCGCACTGTATCCAAGACTGATGCAGCTGGAATCGCAAAGATCGTTTGTGCCAATTTGGGTGGTTTCGTGGAAATGCTGGTGCTGTACAGCCTCCCGTTAATTTTCTTGGCCAAACTGCACAAGATCATGGCTAGTCTCCCTGAAGTTGTCCAGGATCTCAAGTTCAGTGAGCAAACAAAACATGGATATCTGTTCCAAAACAAGCAAATCCAGGATGAAGTAAAGGGAGATCTTTCAACAGGAAGGGGCATTCAGATACTCCGCATGAATTTGACGGGCATCAAGGCCGCTCTTTTAACACTCCTTATGCCTTTCCTTACAACCGCTATTCACTTGTTATTTCTACATGTAGACCTAAGCTGAATTCTGTGGGTAGGCTCCCCTTCCTCAGGGGGGACTCCCATATAAAAAGAACAGGGGTGCTCATCGGAAATGAGAGGTACCAAGATTCTGTTTTGTGGATGTGGCTNGGTTGTTACGCGTTCGACATGGGAGCATTCCACAACAGATCGCTGATCCAAGACGAATTGGGGGAGACTGTAACAGCCGCTAAGAACATCATCTGGTCCTTCAGGTACCTCGAGATGTACATTGTTGGCATCTTGTACTTTCGAAAGCGCCACTTGGAGAAAATGCTTTCCGAAGTGATTTTGACCAGGCGATACTGGAAGAAAGTTCGGCGCACAATCCTCAAGGTCAGCATTGCCGTGTTTCTCTTTGTCTTCGTCGTGCCAGTGACTTCGAAAATTGTTCAGATGAACTTAACAACGAGGAAAGTGGAATCATTCAGCCTCAAGGAGATCCTCTGTAGTGTTTCCCTGTCGATTATGGCTCGAATTGTAGCTCTGCCTATTTTTCTAGCCTTTATCTATGTCGTATACGTCACATTCAGCCAAATTCGCCTGTTCAAAGAGCAACTTCAAAAGTGGCCCGAGGGAATGAAAGAGGAAGCAAGAAATCGGTTCATTGACATTAAAACTACCATCCGAGACGCAGAGAGGTCTTTTCAGACTTTTCTAATAGCACATCTGCTATTGCTGCTGGTCCTTCTCATACCAGCCATATTTTCTTGCGTCGAGCGCCTTCAAAGTGAGAGCCACTATGAGGAGACCGATACTGACCAAATGGAAATGAGATCCGCTCTTAAGCCTCCGGGAAATACAGAAAATTTCATCGCCGCTGTCAATGGCACTTATTACCAACGGCAACAAGTGACCTTCCTGTTAAAGCTACCGGCGAATTATGGTCAAAACACAACGCATAACGCACCTCATAAGCGCACTGTATCCAAGACTGATGCAGCTGGAATCGCAAAGATCGTTTGTGCCAATTTGGGTAGTTTCGTGGAAATGCTGGTGCTGTACAGCCTCCCGTTATTTTTCTTGGCCAAGTTGCACAAGATCATGGCTAGTCTCCCTGAAGTTGTCCAAGATCTCAAGTTCAGTGAGCAAACAAAATATGGATATCTGTTCCAAAACAAGCAAATCCAGGATGAAGTAAAGGGAGATCTTTCAACAGGAAGGGGCATTCAGATACTCCGCATGAATTTGACTGGCATCAAGGCTGCTCTTTTAACACTACTGATGCCTTTTCTCACAACAGCGATTCACTTGTTATTTCTGCATGTAGACCTAGACTGAATTCTGTGGGTAGGCTCCCCCTCCCTCAGGGGGGACCCCCATATAAAAACAACAGGGGTGCTCATCGGAAATAAGAGGTACCAAGATTCTGTTTTGTGGATGTGGCTTGAACTAAGAGGTACCAATTCTAAAATAACACATTATCTCCAATCACAGTTTTTTCAGATCAATACCCTAAAAGGTTCTGCAAAAGCTCCTGCTGAGGACCTTTTGAGGCTGAACAAGCCAAGAGGTACCAAAACCGTAAAAACCCTATCAAAACTACCCGTACCAAAACCCTCAAAAGTACCACAAGTACCCTTGTCCCTTTTATTTGGGAGTCCTCTCAGGGGTTCCCCTGCCCTCATCCTCTCACTGAGACCCTCACTACTTCTTTAATGTCTTTTTAAGCTCTTGGTAGGCTGACTTAAAACCATATCACACGACTGCAAATAACAGCTGCTTACCAAACAATAACCAAAAAAATTGCCAAAATCCGACAAAATTCCAATTTTGTTCAGACATTTAAGACCGAATTTTTTCAGTCTCTAAAGACAGAAGTATCCAATTCATTATGTGGCGCAAATTGAACAGATTGTGACCTACGTGCACATTGCCTGGAATGTGTTTTTGGGTTGCAACAATTATCACGATTCACATTATGGAATTATAACAGAAAAAAAAGCTCAACATTACATCAGAATACATTTTCAATTTGTGCAAACAAACTGGTGACTCAGGCAGACATTTGTTCTTCAAATACAATACAAAGATCTGTAGTGATCTATCAGTGATTGACATAACCCATCAAATGACTCTCAGGAAAACACTCAAACTGATTGGCTACACAGTGGCTGTCTAGCAACTGTTAGACAACACAGGGGGCTGGTCAATCTTTGAAGATGATTTCAACTTTGTTTGTTGACACTTGTAATACAAAATATTTGTTTGCTTGATAGATCAGTCAGTGGATTGTGCTAAACTGATTAGACAACTCGCTCTCACTTTCTTTTGATTTGGTAGTTGGCCAGGGGCTTCACCCTTGCCAATTATAAGTCGATAGAAACTTTGAGCTCACCTTCTTATGTTCAAATAATAACTGATGAATGAATCAATCAGATTCATGAATTTGCAACAAAACATGGACACTAGGAGTTTAATAGGGTTTTACAGTAATGTGTATAATACCATACAAAATATGACAAAAGTTGGAAATGCAGCTATACAATGATAGCCAAGTAATGGTGTGAAGGCACATTTTCTGATTTTGTTACAAATTGTATGTTTTGCTGTCTTCTTGATCGGTTCATGACAGAAACAACAGCTATCAATCAGCTGTCATGGATTGTCTCAATCGGAACATAAACACTAGGAAGTAATGGGGAATTCTAAAAGTGTTAGAGGGCTTCATAGGGTTTTTACTAACAGTAATTTGTATAATTTATACCATAAAATGATAGCCAAGTATAGTAAGTGATCTGGATTTGTTGTTTATGTTAGCACTTTCATTGTTTTGCAATTTTATTTTGTTAGAGGCAAAAACAACAACAATAGATTACATTACCTTGTTTTTCAAAACAATTTAATTTGTAATATATTTACTGTAAATAAATACAACCTAATTAAGGATCGGTACAGTCATACTAAATGCCTTATAGAACATTTGTCCTGAGTATCACTGCTTTGTGATACTCTAACGGCACATGCTCTGCAGGCTAGTTTTCTGATTTTGTTCAAATTTGTATATTATGTTGTCTTTTTGAAATAA